TTGTATTGTATTGTATTGTATTGTATTGTATTGTATTGTATTGTATTCTAAATTGTCCGTTGGCTGGGGCCTGAACAGGGGGCTCTCATGCTGGAGATACTTGATGAACCAATAGCAAATATCCCCTGCACACCCTGCTCCCTCCCTCCCTCCCCACCTTTTAGTCACGACTTGTGTTTTTACTGTTATAGATATATGTGTTTTCATGGTTTTATTGTTATTAAAGTTGTAAGCCACCAGAATTGTCTTGTGGCAAGATGGGTGGCAAACAAATTTAATACATAAATAAAAATAATTACTAACCAAAATAAGCTTGAAAACATTACCGTATATCTCTCTCTATAAAAGCGAAATACCCCTCACGCATCATCACAAAATCTCCAGAACCGTAAAGCCTACAAACTTGAAATTTGGCACGTATGTTCCTCTTGGCTTCTAAGTGCTCACTAAGAAAGGATTTTTTGAAATGACCATCACAGCATTAGTATTTTGTGTATTATTATTAACATGCTCTGATGCTAAGGAGTTCTACTCCCCGTCCCCACCTGAAAAAAAATCTGTTCCAAATGCAAAACACAAGCAGAGGAGAAGAATTTCAGTTTCAGAGCAGCAAGCAGCTTTAGTACAGAAGAGTTGAGCTAGGCTCCTTGCTGTCTCCTTCTTGCTCACGCAGCAAATACTGTATCAGTTTCCAAATAGCCCTCAACTCTCTCACACACTTACAAGATGCTATCCAGATGAATACCAATGGATGCTGGTAGGCAGCGGCAGAATTTTTTCCTCCCCCAAAACTAAGCCCTATCACATAGTTTCGTAGCGAAGCATGAGTATCGAGATAGTCTTTTATATTTGAAGACATATGCTTACATTTAAGAAAAAAGTGTTAGGAGACAGAGTTAGAATGTTACTTTAACTGTGAAGGGAATTATTGTTAATGAAAAGCATGGTAAGCCAAGAATTTCGAAATTCTGGATTCAGTACTGAACAAGAAATGAGCAAGTACTTGTTACTCTCGTAACTTATTAAGTTTTTGGAACAGTTGGTACAGCTAACTGGTCATGGTTTGTTTAACATCTCATTAAATAGGATTTTCACTTCTAGAAGAATGAGCCAGAAAAAGGAGACAGTCTATTACAGTCTATTACTGCAGTTGAGAGAAATGGGAGCACCTGCAAAAACTTCTTATGCATAGCTGAGCCAAGATCCTTAAGAGTTCTGATGTGGCAAATCAATCAAAGGTATTATTAATAATGTAATTTTGCTTATTGCTAACAATAGTGACTAATATTGATAATGGAATGTTACTGTTCTCTTTCCTCAAATACTTGTTTATAGTTTATAGATATTAATAATGTGTGATTATAATGTATCTTTGGATTAAAATGATTTTCTTATTTTGTTAACTTCTTAAATGTGATCTGATTATATTACTTTTTATTGCTTACCCAAATCACTACTGGACAAACTTTGGTTTGACTTTGGAAAGAAATAATTCCATGACTATGGTAAGAATAAAACTGATGTTAGTTTAGACCAAGGGTTCTTAGAATTTACCACAGACTGATTCAGTAAAATATAAGTCGCAGGGGATAGTAGCATTTTCACTAATACAAAACATAATGCATTCATTCATTTATTTTATTTCCTTCTTCAATTTACATAATTGCCATCTCACATGAATGTTTATTACAATTGTTCCAATTCATATTTATAGATATTATTGGTTGCAGAAACAAATATCAGTACTTTACTTATATCTATATATTTATTTAAAAATCTGATCTTTTGCATGTTTATTTGGAAAGGAAAGGTTAGTCAATTTAATAGGATTTAATTTTAGGCAAATGTATGTATGAATGCAGTCTAAAAATCTTAGCACTAGTTTTTTTAAACGATTACTTACATTTTTGCCTCATTCTCTTTAATGTAAATCAATGATATCTCCCTAAGCCTAAAACCTTTTCTCCCTATTCCTCTCCAATTTGCACTGCTTGTTTTGCTTGGGGAAATTTTACATGGTAGTTCACCAGTCAATAAAACATTCATTGTATTCTGTGCAATGCAAACTCTTTGTACTTTGTGGGTTATAAGTTATTTGTCAAAGCAGGGAAAGAGGGGGAAAAAAAACACAATTGCTTTATTAAATGTTGAAAGAAGAAAAGAGTAACAGAAACATTTTAATCCACAACAAGAAGAGATAAAAACTAAAAACAAAATAAATCTAAACAAACCCCCATGTTTGTCCCTGGAGCATTAAAACCAAACCTCAGAAATGTCACTCAAAGCAATCCAGTCTGACATCTGGAATTCTAAAATTCCTATGGGGCTTGAGGAAGCCTTTTTAGTGTCAAGATGAAGGAATGTCTGGTGGCTGTTGCTGCACCCTACAAATCTGCTTAACACCATGCCTATAATTTGTTTAAAGGATACTTACTTTAAAGAAAGTGAATAGTCATGCTTGCTTGTTTGGCTGTTCCTCACTAGATAACTACATTCTTTACACAAGCGCAAGAGGTTTTCTGCATCTGTCCGACTGATTGCTCCATGATACCATCTGCAAAAAATACAAGCAATTAACACCTAGAATAAATTCACTTTTAGAGTTTTTTTAAAGACATTCCACTGTACTATATGATATGCAAGACAAAGCAAAGCAACTTTGAGATATGTGTACTGGGTTGCAGCCCTGCAGACTCTCCACAAAATATCACTTTAATGTCAGTTTCTGTTGCCCTATGTTTCCCTGCACCATGTATCAGCAACTTACATTTGTTTTTCCAGTGGAATAGTTGGATCCACTCTCTCCCCCAAGATTCCACAGAATTCTGGACTACCATGTTTGATAGGTTTGAAGCCTCCCCCAGGTGCCCGAAGCTGTCGGCGCCGATCACTTGAAGATGGAGAAGGTGAAGATTGCCTTATCTCTCCTCCGTTGAACTGGGCTGTAAGACATGTTCAAGAAAACCATTACTTCCAAATTAGCAAATACCCAAAGAATTTTAAATATTGATCAGAAATAATGGATTTTAAAACAAATAAAAATATAGTGTACACTGTACTCTATGCCATACTATGCTATGCTAATATAGTTGCCCCTCTCGTTATAGGGACTCTGAGCAACGTTTAAATGGAAGCCACAATATGAAACCATTAAAACATGACATTCAAAACAGATAACTCAAAAAGGAATCTCAAAAAGATGAGCGTAAAAGCAATGATAACATAATATAACATAAGCTATCACACAATGCAATATAAGAGCAATCTACCCAGGCTTCACTAACTTCATGAACACCCTGCTTGGAGAAACAATCAGATTTTCAATATTTTCTGGAAGATCAAGTGGGATTGGGCTCAATCTGATCTCAGATGGTAAGGTGTAACCAATCTGACCTCCTTGGCTGATAGTTCTTCACTCCATCAAGTGAAACAAAGCAACATTTCAAAAGTATAGTTTTATTTATTCATTTTTGTATAACAGCAGGCTGGCTTGGGATTTTAGGAGATGTATTCCCAAGACACCAAGGTCATGTCAGGTTGCAGAAGACTGATTAGCTGGCAGAAAACCAGCCCTCCAACTGCTCTTCCTGAGCCTCTATTTCCTGGCTGTACTTATCCCCCAAAGCCACTTATAAAAATACTTGATTGTTTTTGTTCTCTGCTGCCTCATCTAGTTGCCTTCTTCTGTTATATGCTGGCAGAGCTATGCTGGCAGAACAGGTTCAAATAAATAACTAGGGACAGAAGCAATCAGTCCTTTCCAATAAGACATTGAAAGTGATCGTGCATTCTTCTGTTTATGTTTTATATGCTGGTCTTCCATATCTCATCCACCCTTATAAGATGGATCAGCATAAGGTTTGATTCAAAACACACAATACCAGGAAAACAATAGGACTCAGCTTAGTGCAGCCTTCTCCAACTACCTCTTTTATATACGAAACAACCACAATTCCTAGAACTATTAATTCAACTCATTGGGAATTATGATCACTTAGTCCAACTCCCCTAGAGGGTATCACTTGAATCCAACAGCAGCCAAGAGCCTTTTCTCTCAGAAAAGAGACACACAAAACGCCAAATATTAATTTTGGAAGAAGATGCAAATAGAGTTACCTCAAGTAACAATAATAAATTAAATGTGAGGGAAGTGAGGTGATGAGTCTATTGCGGTCACATGACTTGTCACTTTACAACCTCATTGTTTAGCAATAGAATTTCCAGTCCCAACTCAAGATTAAAGGGATAAATTCTAATTTGACTTCACATACCTGTATTTTTTTTTAATAAAGTGGTATATTACCAAAGCAAAGCTTGCCATTTACAGAATACCAAGTACAAAGCAAAGATACAGAAACAAAGCAACCCTGGTATATTATTGTTTCAGGAAGTTTAATGGAATATTTTTTTCCTCAACCACCTTCCCACTGGAAGTCCAATAGAAAATATAGGATTAGAATTGCACCAATTCTAGTTCTCCTACCATCTGAAAATTGGATTTCATGGTTCAAACAAATCACCCAACAAACCCAAGACCAAGATGTGTGACATCCATAGCAACCAGGGGTCCTTAAGAAAAACAGAATAACAGAGTCAGAAGGGGCCTTGGAGGTCTTCTAGTCCAACCCTCTGCTCAAGCAGGAGACCCTATACCATTTCAGTCAAGTGGCTGTCCAGTCTCTTCTTAAAAGCCTCCAGTGATGGAGCATCCACAGCTTCATTACACTGGCTAATTGTTCTCACAGTTAGGAATTTTCTTAGTTCTAAATTGCTTCTCTTTTTGATTAGTTTCCATCCATTATTTCTTGCCTTGCCTTTGGGTGCTTTGGAAAACAGATTGACACTGCCCCCCCCCCCCCTTTTTCCTTTGTGGCACCCCATCAAATATTGAAACACAGCTATCATCTCACCCCAATCTTTCTTTTCACTAAAACAGCCATACCCCATTTCTGTAACTGTTCTTCATATGTTTTAGACTCCAGCCCCCTAATCATCTTTGTTACTCTTCTCTGCACTCTTTCTAAAGACATGGTTCAACATGCAAATGAGAAAAAAAGCGATAAAGTAAGTAGTCACTAGGTAAGGCTATATGATTCTCTGTAACAGTTATTATCTTTGTGTTATTGTAACACTTAATAAAGGCCGCAAAAGTGATAGTTAATCCTACAATTAACCAGGTGAAGTCAATCCTATAGATAATAAAATACTCTCATGCTTTAACTCAGGTTAGAGCTGTCTATCTTCCCTCTACCTTCTGTGGGTTCCTGTGAAGAGCATTTGAAAATGAAAGTAATTCAGTCTTAGAAAGTGTTAGAAGGCTATAAAACCTCTAAATGCTTCCAGCTTGCAATTTCAACTGCGAGGAATACTTTTCAAAAAATGGAAGTTACAACAAACTGTGGAAATCAAATGAAGACCTCAAAGATCAACAAAAAATACCTGCTAGAATGGTCTTATCTGTAAAACAAACCCAGAGATCGCTGCAAACAAATCTGCTGAAAAGTTTAGCTGATAGTGGAATAAGTATGACAACACTGCAGTGTTGCTTATACAAGAATGGTCCATATGGGACAGTTTGTCAGTTCTTTAATCTCATGACAAAACACACTGTCTAAAGCATGTAAAAAGAAACCCTGGTAAACTTGAAGTGTTTTGGAACAAAATGCTTTGGAATGATGAAACAAAAATTGAGCTTTTCAGCTACAACCACACAAGAAATGTTGGGAGCAAAAAGGGCAGTTGAGGAAAAGCATACTTTGGCAACCATTAAGTATAAGGATTACTCTATTATCCTTTGGCAGCCAGGAGCATAGGAAATATTGTGGGCATAAAGAATGATTCAGCTAAACACCAGCTTCTTCCTTGCATCTAATGTCTCACAGTCAAGGAAGAAATTGAAGTTGAAAAAAAAGTTTGATATTTCAGCAAGACAACAGCCTGAAACATTCTTCCAAATAAACCATGAAGTACTTATAGGGAAAATACACACACACACACACACACACACACGTATTACAAGTACCTTTAAATATAACTTCAGAGTCCTCAGACTTGAATATTATTTAGAATTTGTGACGAGATCTTAAGCATACAGTGCATGCAAGAAATTCTAAGAATATTTCTAAGTCCTAAGAGCAAGGGAGAATGGGAAAAGATACAAAGAACAAGAATAGGAAGACTTTTTGTTGGCTGCTTGAAATCTTTGAAAGCTGCTCAAGGAGCTACTGCAAAACACTGAGTGAAATAATACGTTTTTTAATTTTAACCGGAACCTCATTTATTATGATTGTAATAAACATTTAATTGATTGAAAAGATTAGAGTGCCATGTGTAGCATTTTTATTTGATTTCTAAACTAATGAACAGAGATAGTAGTTATACATTAAGATTTGAAGAAAAAATGTATTTAACATTGTACCCTATGGAGGTTGTATCAGTTTCTCTTCACTCAAGGATTTACTTAAACGTATAATTTGAGCAGGATGCCTACACCTTCATAGGTCCAAGTCTACTTTGTCTCGTGACTATGCCAAACATGGACTGGTGATTAACACAGATGTAATATCCACCTAGGAAGTATCTTCTAAGGTGAGGTGCCAATGAATAACATTATTTGAAATTATGAAATTAAGCTATACAAATTAAACTATTCTAAGACAAACAGAATAATAATAAGCAAATATGCTCAAATGGTGCACAAAGTGGAATTAAACTGTAAATATTTACTGTGCAAAATAGCAATATTATGTAATGTGGAGAGGTCTATGCGTAATTCCTTAAAATATTGCTATAATAATTAAACTATCTACATTGCTAGCAGACAATAATCCATTTACAATAATCTGTACATAATTAAATGCTGCAAGCAATCATTTAATTGGAGCAGCCAGACAAGGAACTCTTGTCAACTCTGTGTGAAGATGATAAGGAAGTCACAGTTTAAAAAACATAATTGCATTTAAAATTTCCCTATGATGGTAATTTTACTACAGAACTCTATCCATTAAGTGTGGCATGATTCCAGAACACTTCCAGATTTTTCAATTGCTAAGGAACAATTTCTTGAATTAAAATTGAAAGGATGTTCTACTTTTATATTATAAATTGTATTAAGAGTACATAGAAATACTGCTTGCTGTGTTTCCACATGTTATTGTTCATTGTACGTCTCCTGTCTGGAAGACAGCAAGCTTAAAAAGCATTTGACTCATGCAAAGATGCACCAGGAAACACAGTTTTCGTAATGTATCTGCATCAGATGAGAATAAATATTTCTATCCATGGCCATCTGCAGTGCAGGAGAAGGAGAGCAAATGATGAAATTTGTGTGACCTTGTGCAAATGTTTTAATATTCGTATTGTGTTAGATGCTAGGAAAAAAAGTGTGTAATTGTTTCATCTGTACAACGATGAGTGAAAAGAATTACTGTTTTGGTGTCAATGAAGTTTGTAGAGAATGCCAATGATTATCATATGTAATGAATGCCTGGAGCAAAATTATTTTCTTTAGTGGAGCCTGATCAGTCAGAGGAAAAATGAGTGAATTATATGGATACATCTGACATCTTATGTGGATATTGAATTCACAGGCTGTTTAATTAAAATATGTACTGTTACCAACTAGCAGTTATCTTATGGCCTACTAATAATATACTCCAGCTGGCACACCAAATGAGTATTAGCAGCTCAGAGCAGAAAACATCTAAGCTTGCCAAAATCAGTATGGGGTTTCTACAGATAGAATTATGTCATTCTGAAATGAAAGCTTTATTTAGCAGTAGAACTAAAAATGCAACCTATAATCTTTAAAGGGTATAGAACCACCACCACCAAGAAGATATACATACATACATACATACATACATGTATGCACATGTGCACACATCTATGTATGTACACACACACACATTATAAAGAACACTCCTTCATTGAGACAAAACTT